ATCTGCAAGCCAATAATAACCTTTAAAGTAAAATTTCTATGAAAGACATACTGTCTTGTATACTAAGATGAAGTATTTAAATGTGATACAAACTTCCAAAAGGAATCCATCAGTCATAAGGTGGTGTGAAATTATCCTAACAAGTGTTTGTACCTTTTACTCTTCTGTTTTTGACTAGACTTAAAGAGTCTATTCCATGATTTCTTTTTGTTAGCTCCTAACCTCCTAGGGAAGCTGCAATGCCCTCCTGTTGTGCTGACACCTGGTACCGATTTCTCCCATGGGTGCTGAGGCTGATTGTCTTGCCATGGCTGAGCAGTTTCACATTTGCCTTCATCACTTAGTGTTCACAGTTTTCTCTTTAGGAGTTGTAACAACTTTGGGGGAAATTTACAGAGGAACATGCAAATTTAATCAGGATTCATGTAGAAACTGGAGTTTCTCTTCAGGTATCATCTTTACTCCCTTGTGACACAGGAGGAAAGTCCCAACATTCTGTACATAAGCTCTAGCTGTTAAAGGCAGAGATGCTGATGCAGGGCTAAGTTCTATGCCTTTACATTGGTGTTGCTTAGTTATGCCTGAAATGAGCCTTTGATAGATCAAAGCCCATCCACAATGAGAAACCTCCCTTTATAAAGACATAACTTCTAATTCTTTCCTAAAGAGATCCACCAACTAAGAGAAAAGCATTCAAATACATGATCCTATGGGCACCATTCAGAGGGATCACTACACAATCAAAAAGAAGAAAGCCAAGCCTTTTACTGGTCCTTTCATTGGATAGATTGTGGTATCAAAAAGAAGCCATTCTACCCATGTAGGTCAAGTCCACACAAACTGTATTTAATACAAATACATACCAAACAGACTAGAGCCCCCAAAGAAGTCCAGTCGACATATAATAATTAAACAACTAAATGTACAGAATAAAGAAAGAATATTAAGAGTAGCAAAGGGAAAAGGCCAAGTATTCATGAATATTTCTATCATGCTACCTTTATATTTGTGCCTAGAGTCATTATCCTTCCACATAGTTTCTGAACTATTATTCTCCTATTCTCCATTAGACATTTAAACATTATAAAATTTAAAAAGTGTATTATGCTATCACTAAGTATTTTTTCATGAATGGTTTGGTTTCAATATCTTTACCTTTTTGTGAAGTATAATGATACAAATTGCTTCTGGGCAAGAAGCAGTTGAAAACAGCAGTTCACATCTGAAAATCCCGATTTTTTTCATTATAAAACCAGTTTTCAGTATTCCAAAGAGTTTAGTGATATTAGATGTTCACTCAATTCTGGATATGACTGTGGAGAATATCTTACACTTTTTCACTCCTGTGGACTGGCTAACTGATACATTCATGGGAATACTTGGTTTTAGAAATAATTAGCTTTAGGCTTACATTCCCCACTTCAACTTCTGCATCGGTTCTGATGATCTCACATGCCTATTTCCTGTGTGTGTGTGTTCTGTATTAGGCCCTGCCTCAGAATATCAG